ATGTGTTAGCTTGTAAGAGAAATCTGACCCTGAAACTTTGATTTTTGTGAGTATAAACTGAGAATCCTTTAAGAGAGAGATATGGTCATTATTAATATGAAGTCTTTTTTCTACCATTCCTCTGTTTTTCTTGACAGTAATCTGCCTTCTCCTATTATTTGCAGTTTCCAGATGCATTCTTGGTGAAGAACAACTGAATGTTGCAGCAGAAGTAGTAGAAGATATATCACAAAACATGGATTGAACACTGAAGCTCGAGCTTTTGTGCACACAATACTACATGATGTGTTTGTTTTGGAGATTGTAATATTTGTTATAATTGGATTATGTGCCTTTTAGTGTACTTGGATGCTCAAAACAATATAATAGATAGATGAGTATAAGAAAATTTAAAATTATAGGCCAAAAGAAAAAAAAATGCTGCAGTAAATCTGTTTTAAAAAAATAATGTTTGCTGAATCTAAAAATTAGTTTACATCGGGTGTACCCGATTACCCGACCGGAAACCCGAACAAGTTATTCGGGTTGTTAGTTAGATGACAGTGTGATTTAATTCGGGTCAACCCGTTTTTCACCCGAGGACCCGAATAACCGATTTCCTTGACTCGAAACCCGTTATTTTGACCCGAATGAACAGGCCTAATTGGTTCCCCCTAGCTCTGAGACTGGATATCAAAATACATATATCCGATATTCCTCCATCTTGTTTGACTGGTTCAAAAGGAATTACAATAAGCGCTGAACTCTTCTCTTATGAGAATGAAATATTTAACTAAACAATACCCATTTGTATATTAAAATTAAATTTGATTCAATTACTAAACATCTACCAAAGTGTATGTTATTACTCCCCTCTTCTATTTAATGAGACTAGCTAGTTATTAGGTCGTTGACCTTGTTGAATGTAAGAGACTCCTCCATGACAAATTTTAGGTTTCGGGAGTCAAATCCAGTCATTTTTTATCAGATTATGAAGCAATTCTTTGCTACAAAGCACCAAAAATGCAGGAGCATCAATTTACATACATGAATTCCTAGTGAAGAGAATGACCATCTATGAGCAATTCCTTCGAACAATGATCAATCTAGTGTAATTGAATCCTGAATTTGTTAAAAAACCATCTAAGATATGCGGTGGGACATCCTTATTTACTCCCAATGTGTTTTGTGTCTTGAAGTTAGTTTTGACCAGTTCAGCAAATTTGAATCTAACAGTCTAATTTTTGTTCTATAAGCCCCCCTTTTTAGCTAATGTTCACGCAGGTCCTTGCTTAATTAAAAACACAAAACTAATTAAGTAAAATGAACTAATTATGAGAAACACTCTTAATTTCTTACTAATTAAAGAGTAAATTGCTATACTTTTATGTAACAAATTAACGGTTATCAATATGACTCGTTTCTCAAATACACTGTTTTTTTCCTTTTTTTTTTTTTGTGAATGAACGAACACGAAAACATGAAAGGAAAAAAAAACGACTTAGCAAGAAACACAGGGTCCAACTCCTTACAAATAAAATAAGAAACACGAACCTGTGCCAGTTTCTCTAAGCTATCATCATTATTTTTATTCCCAAAAAATCGAAGGATCAGTTAAGAGGTAGAAAACAACATATTGAACTTAGTGATCGAGATTGATAACAATTCTTCTTCTTGCATATCTCTTAATTATTCTTTTCTTTTTAAAATTATTTTTTAAAATTATCGTGGTTCTATCAAAGCCGCCAATCATAATAGAAGGAAGAGAAAACAAAAGTGAAAAGAAGCCGAAACTGTACTAATCCTTGCTTTTGATAATATATACTTTCATCTCAAATAATTGTCTAGTTTAGATTTGCTCCTAGAAATATGAAAATCCATACTGAAGAGTAATATTTTCCTCAACGAGAAAAAGAATTTTCTCCTTATGCTTTTCCATCCTATTCTTGGAGGACCAAAAGGAAAAGGAAAAAAAGGGTCATATTTTCATTGCTTACTTCAATATTTTGCGTATAAATTATTGTCACATGCATTCTTAGTATGATTTTTCGGTTGTAAATATTCTTTGATGATGAAATTACTATTTATTTACATTAGTCCCAAAGAGCAAAACTAAGAATGATGTGAAATCTATATAAATTTAACAATTTTTTTGGTACTGCAGCAAGGGAGAGGGCCGATAAATTTTAGAGTTTATTTTTTTGTAGTGTTCTCATACATAATGGAAGTGATCTAACAATTTTTAATATTTGATCACGTAAACATTACACTAATAAATAGTGTTAACTTAGTAATGTTTATTGCACATAATGAAGTTAGTTATAAGCATAATGACTTTGTAACCAAACTATGAAATTGGTGGCTTATTCATAAAAGTTTGACCAAGAAACTTCAAGCTGCACGGTGGGAAATCAATATCAAGGAAAATGTTAAAAATTGGCATACATATTTAAAACATTTAGGTGTTATACTTGTTCGTGCTAACTAATTTCAACCGAGACTTCCACGGTGCTTACAAATTTTTTTTTTTTCACTAATTAATTGTAGAAGTTCAAAGTGTATTCCAATTCTAGAGAAGTATAGAGTTTATGTAAGAGGCATGAAGGCTATTTTGGTTTTAGAAATTGGACCGCATCATTGAATTTAGAATATCTGTACTCGTGATTAATAAATCTTTCGGATGGTATTTTAGAATTTTAGACATTTGTGCTGGTGTTTCTACTGACTTGTCTGTTAAATACTTTCTGCAATTTCTAAGAAAGATTGATGTTTTAATCAGTATTCAGTAGTCGAATGAATCTCCCCTTCCGTTTCCAATTTCTGCAATTTACCATCCGCCTTAATTCTCTCTAATTTATGGAAATAATTCAAGCTTAATGAGATGCCGTAGATATATAGTGTATTCAGTGACGTTCTGGATTTCAGTAAATTGAATGGCAAGGAATGAATGAAGCTTGGATGTCCAACAGTGAATTCTACAAATGTTTCTACTTGGAATACTTAAAGCCTAAAAACCATAACAAATTTCTTCTTCCATCCTTCTCATTTAATAGCTCATTTTTATCTTAATATTTTAGTTCAACAAAGTGAACGATTAACAAAAAAAATATTCACTGAAGCAATAATATATTCCCTCCGTCCCGAAAAAATAGTCCACATTGAGTTTTGGATTTTGTACTAAAAACAGTATAAATTTGAAACTCAATGTGAACTGTTTTTTTGGGACAGAGGTAGTAATATGTTACCTGTACAATGGCAATCAGGTTGGGGGCCGGGTTCTCATTTGGTGATTAGTGGAATGGAGATTGATTAGGCCTCTTGGAAGCTTGGTTGATGCCAGATACTAGTACTTAATTGGTAAAGTACTCTCTCCATGTTATATTATATTAAATTTGTAACAAAACATCGGAAACTTATGAAGTTATACAAGCGAAAACTCTTCCCCAGAATTAGTTACACACAAGAAGTCAACTCAAGTTCGATCAAAGTGTAGGCAGGACTAACAATTTTCATGCATTCTCAGTAGATCCACATGCTTGGTTTCTCATCCTGAGATGATAAGTATGAGATTTTTTTTTCTTCTCAAGGAATAAAAAGTGTTCTACACTTTTTTGTGGACTATGATGTTTTTTACCTCCGATATTTCTGAGTCCATGTTTAGCAAGTGATCTGCATGTAAGGAACCTATCCATTACAATAATGTTAAAAATATCCAAATACATTCCATTTTCAGACTCTGTAGCTTGATAAATAAGAGTAAGATTCCAATTCCAAGGAAGAATACTTCTTATACAGAAGTTGGAAGAGATTCTCCGAGTTTTCGAATCTAAGGCCAAGTAGCAAGGAGCAATTTGACAGAAGCAAACAAGACAAGGTTAAGGAACTGGAAAACCATCCCTTGTTCAAAGCAGATTTGTGGAGATAAATGGATCATCAAAGATCAGAACTGCGATTAATTCCCATGAAAGGGAGAGTTGGAGAATCCTAGAAATATACATGCCCAGTTCAGATGTGATGTACGAACGAATGGTAGACATATGTAAACTATTGAATATTATACGATAGTTCTTTGCATGATTTTGAGAGGGATAACACTGAATGCACTGCTCTGCAGGAAAAGGTTAAGTGCTCCATGCATATATCGGTAGTCTGTGGCAGCAATTTGTAACACAAGCTTTCATTAATGAACTTCAAGGTTCCAAAGTGTAAACAACAATCTGTCCCCCCTAAAAATTCCCACTTACAAAATTCTATTTTTACCATTCCTTGGGTATGCATTTTTGTTTTTTGTTCAACCATTTTTGGATCTACTGTATGTGTCTTTTCATAGTTCAATCGCTGCCAGATATTATCTCAAGATAAGTAGAATTCCACAATGACACTATAGGGCTTGTAAGTTATAATAGCAATTCAGTCAGTGTTTCAAAATGATCTCAACTGCGTACCATGTTTTATACATGAAACGAATCCCAATTAACAAACGCTGTCACCAATTTTACACAGTATGATATCATCCAGACCTTGAAAATCTAACTAATTACATTTTACATTGGAGGCTTTGTTAAGTAACAAATTACATTGTAGGAGGCCCTGTTAAGTAATTTAGTTATATTTACACAGAGATCTACCATTTCAATGAGCTAATCAAACTAAGATCCGATAGTGCCCGATTTCGTGCTGTCGTTGCAGATTATGACTCAAGAAAGTATGTAAGAAGTTGATTCAAGGTGAAGACTTTACTGAAAGAAAACACCTTGCAGGTGGAAAGAGTGCAACTATCTGCACTTGAATACATGCTGTAAGCTGCCTTGAACTTGTTTCCTGCAGCGCCGCACTGAGAATGCAAGCTCACCAAGAGCTTAGCGCATTCACTACAAAAAGAGAGAAAAGGCAGGCAGAAAGAAAAAGGTGTGAATTCGATCGATTGTTAATCAAAGAGAGACAAGGGAAACTATACAGAAATGACAATGATCATCAATCATCATACATTAACTGCTCTTCAGAATATTTAGTCAGGTGCTTCAGTGTTTCTGTCCATAATGGAGTCTTGATGAGAGTGCAACGAGCTGCAAAAATGTGGAGGCTGCTAACATCAAAGAGCGATAAAGTATGGTGGTCGAATAGTTCCCCAAACCGAGCTCAGCCAAGAAAAACACCATGTTCTCAACCTACCAAAGGTTATAAATCATTTCCAAAATTATCAACAGTATGAAAAATTTCAAGAGGAGAAAAGCTGAAACTGATGTGTAAGTTCCAACAATATACCTGCGAATCATATGGTAAAGAAGCCTTCATGTATCGGACCAGAGACATACGGCGTGGAATTGTCAAATTCCACCCCAGTTTAAACAGAATTGATTTTCCATCCTCACATAAGCACGTACTGTGAGATATAGCTATGAAATCATTAGCCTCAATCAACAAACAAGAAATTCAGATTGGTATCAGTTTGTTTATCCCTGTTTGGATGGCAACATTTGTAGCAGAATAATGAAGAGTTACTGTACCTCTATTAACCAAATTTCTTCATATTTGCCAGCCAAAAGCAATGAAGCCAAGCCAACTAACTGAAGTTCTGTTCTTGGGATAGTCTTCATCACAAGCAATCGATCAATTATGTCGACAGCTATATATAGAGTTTCTGGCATAAGTTCAAACTTCTGATGGACTTCTATCAACCAGTCCACAAGAATAGCCCTCATTCTGGCATTGATGTCAGGCTGTAAACCCATGTAGTCTTTAACTAGACCACATTCCTGCTTCCAGAAAGTAAGTTAAAAAATGCACAATGTTTATACAAAAGAAAAGAGTATTTGGAACTATACTTCTCCAAAAGACTGTAGTAGTTGGCATTGGAGAAAATTGATGAGAATCAAAGAAGAGTTGAAGAATGCTGTAGTTGATGGTCAGTGGACAGGAAATTCTGGGAAAGCTTATGATACAAGAAGTGGTTATAAGTGGATCGGAGGGGTGGGGGGAAGAATTTTAGGCAGCTCACATCTGTTGGAGCAAATATTCAATACCAAAACACAGCTTTGTTTCTTGGTTAGCTTGGAAAGGAAGATTACTCACCATAGACAGGTTGATGACTATGATGATTGCTGTAAATGATCAGAGATGTATTCTCTGTGAGAAGGAGGTTGAATCCATTAGCCATTTATTTTTTCAGTGTGAATATTCCCAGGATCTGATAAATCTGATCACACAGTGGCTGTCAAGACCAAAATCAAAGTCCTTAATGCAGCAAGACGGTTGAACATTTGGAAGTATAAGGCAGTGAGAAGACAGTTGTTGTTTGAAAGTGTGAATGCTGCTGTGCATCATTTGGACTAAGAGGAACTCGAGACAGTTTCAGGCAAAATCAGAATTGGCAGAATCAAGAGCTAGGAAAGTTCAGCAAGAGGTTATATGGAGAGTGATACACTTGTATAGAAATGGTAGTGCTGATGATGTTAGGTTTTTGGAAAACTTAGGCATTTTGGTGAGTTAAAAAGTGCTGTACATATGCTTTGAGAATGAAATGAAATTCACATTTTACCAAAAAAAAAAAAAAAACTATACTAGGATCAAATGGTTAAGCAGTACCAAGGAAATTACTACATAAATAGTCCACAGCATACCTCCAAATTTCCTTGTAGAAATTGTACATCCTCCACGTACTCAATGTTCATTACTGATACGATTCGTGTATCCGAGTGACTCACCAACTATACAAGATCTAAAGGAAATTATACAAGGAAACCCATAGCAGACTAATGTACCTTGCTTCCGGCTAGTAGGGTAGAAGTGTAGGTTCTCATCCACTCTTTCCACCAGTCCTAAGAACTTTCTCTCTGCAGTCACCTTCTTCCTTATCAGAGCTAATTACAGTTAATTCATCAGGTATCGCCTTAACCGTATCCTTCCTAACATTTCCAGCTGCTCCTTCAGCAATTGATTTCTGCAAATCAACATAACGAGCGTCATCATCAGTCACCACCAACATTTCTTTTCTTGGTATACCACATCAGCCAATAAAAATCATAAGTGAAAAATAAGACTATATAACCTTCAAAAGGATTCTAAAAGGCAAAAAAGGATGGAGAAAATCAAAATAAACCTTGTCGTGCTCGCCTGCAGGTTTTCCAGCGTTGACCAGTACCTTCCCACCTGCAGTAGGAACTGGTGCGAGGTTTCCAAAATCTCTTAAAGCTCGGCGATTCTTTCCATTTGCTTAGCATTCTTCTGCTTTCCTACACCTAAAATGGCTGACAACACAGTTAGTGCCCTCGTTGATCTACTTCTTCAACCAGAATTTGACCAAAGCGCCTTCTCCATTGATGTAGTGTACAGAAAAACATCAAAAAGTAAATTTCTTCAGCGCATCAAACAATCAAGTACACATTGTTCAGATACAAAATGCCACTCAATATGATTAAACCGCGGATTTTCCAAAGTATTAAAGAAAAATTACAAACTAAAATACTTCGATGATCAACCCATCACATCACCCTAAGTAATGTGTTCTTGAAATATTAGTAAAACAATCAAACAAAACCAACAGATTATATTATTAAGTAATGTGTTCTTGAAATATTAGTAAAACAATCAAACAAAACCATCAGATTATATTATTCAGGATCCAATGTCCGAGTACCACGCTTATTAAGTAGTGAACGAAATCAATAGGAACAATTCCTCGGTGTCCTCAAAACCATCAGGAAATCAGGATAATTTTAAGACACCAAATGCAGGGGTTGAATAATAATTGAGAGTTACCAAAAAGAAGCGGCAAAGACAAAGGAGGAGGAAAAAAGAACTTTTGATGTTGTGCTGGAGCTTTGAGTAAATATATATTGAACTTAATACTTTTTTTTTTTTTAATAATAACGTAGTCATACACGAGGAAGTTAAGTCCTGAAGTTAGGTCAATCAACTACAACTAGTTTCTCATACTCTTTCCCTGAAACTGCAGCCACCATCACAGACTCCGGGTTCAGCTCTCCATTATCTTCCAGGAATAGAGTGAGCAAATTTTTTGAAAATCCACTAACAAGTGCAACCCCATTCTGGTTTCCTGGAACTGGTGTGGCCATTGAGTCTCTAAGATTCCAAAACACTATTTCCGGGACACAGTTTCCGTACCCTTTTTCCCTGTACTTCCTGACTATGGTTTGGTAATCTGTTTCCCAAGGTCTCATTGAGGCCTGATCAAATTCCATGTCGCTGAATACAAACAACCTCTTAATCATCTCTTCCTCCTTCAGGTTTCCCTTCACAGCGACTTGGAGTATCAGATCAAACACCTTCTGAAAATCAGTGTTCATCCCCCACTCCATCCTCCTCACGAAATTCGTCTTGGCTTTCAAACTATCTCCCTGAACTCTCTGGAGACTAGGATTCGTGCTAAAAGTGATCAAGTTCCCCTTCCATGGCTCGTCGCTCAGCTCAGAGACTAAAACTCCGAGCGCCACAGATACCTCCATCGGTATTCCAGACATGCTGCCGGAAACATCACAAATCGAGAGGCAGTTTTTCAGCTTACCGTTCTTGGCCAAATCATCCACCATCCTTTGCCATTGAAGCTCGGCGACCTGACCACCATCATCGTCATTCAGTGCAGCGATAATCTCGTGGGGGAGCAAAGCTCCAGCGGCGATTTTTGCCTTCCCAGACTTCACATTATTCAGATACTCCTCGAACCTTTCCTTGTCGTGCTTTAGAAACTTCTCCTTGTACTGCTTCATCGCAACCGAAGCCACCCGGTTGTAAGGAATGGATCCCCAGTCATTTGCGCCGATGAAGACCTCCGGCAACTCCAAAGCCTTCCTTAAAGGCACCAAAACTTCCTTCCTCAGCCGATCTCTCACGCGATACGCATAGTGTGCGTCCTCGATTCCCTGGTACTCTGGATAGGCATCCTTTGGGAAAACCTTTCTAGCAATGCTTTCGCATAAAAGGGTCGATTTATCAAACATGGAATCCAACGAGGGACACCACTTCGCCGCGAGGCCAATCTTCTTTAGCTCCCCAGAATTAAAAAACTCCATGTCTCTCTTCAACGACTCTGCAAAGAATTCGGACACCCGCTCGTGCAAGAACTTGTAATCGGGGTCGCGGATGTATCTCTCGACGGCCTTCTTCGCCTTTTCGATCTTCTTTGCGTGCCTTTGTAAGCTGGCATTCTGTTTCTCAATCGCCTGCCGTGTCAAATTCGCCAGTATTCTTACTTCTGCTGTAGTACCATTTTTATTCTTTCTCCAATTGGAAACCCTCTTAGAATTTCCACCGCTGAAAGGCCCTCTTCCTCTTCCGGCCATCCTGACGCCGCCTCGACCTCGGCCTCCCCTTCTGCCTATAGTCTTTCTCCCGTGCGCTTCTTTTGCTCTCTTGCGCACGTCGGCTCCTTCTAGAAGCCGGTGAAGAATCTCCGGAAAGTCCTTAAAGTAGCCGAAATCCGCCATGGGGGCGACATTGCAAGCTAGGGTTTTCGGGTGGTGATCATGGAGCCAGAGCGCAGCAGTATAGTAACCCTCCTTATCAGATTTTCCGATACCCCTGACGCCGCGAAGATTGCATATAAGCTTCAAAGTCATCAATGGATTTGAATCCCAGGCGAGCTGGAGGCGTTTAATTAGGCTTTCTTGAGTAGTGTCGGGGACGACGTGGAAGAAAAAGTCCAAACAAGGGTTACCACTGGAGAGGAAAGTGGCTGAACCGTTTTCGGTGTAACCCATCATTGGGTTTCGGAGATATTCGTCGCTGGAGTTATTGTAATTGGCCACCATCAGATCCATGAACGGATTGCCAGTGGCAGCGGCGGGGGCGGCGTTGACGGTGGAGGCGGATGGGGCGTGGATTTCGGGTGGGCCAAGCAGAGAGGTGATTTGGGCCATATTGGATTTGAGGTTTTTTTTGAAGGGTTTTGATTTTTTGGTTTGTTTATTGCTAACAATTGAAGAAATAACTGGGATATAGAAGGAGGCGATAACAATGGCTTTCCCTCTGAGGACTAATATTTATTTAGGCTGTCGGGAATTCGTGGTACGTCGGTTATTAATTGGACAAGGATGTCAAAACCGGAATTTTCTTGGAGGCTACGTATTCGTGGAGGCCAAGTTAATTTATGCACTAAAAAAAGAAAAAAAAAAGACTAAATAAACAAACCGACAATCGGAGTATAAAAACTCTCTGATAAGTCATCAAGCCAGCTGGGATAATAAGAAACATGTATCTATAGTATCATACTAAGAAAGAAATCAGAGAGAGAAAACAAAAAAGAATTATAAAGGTGACACATATGATAAAATCCTATGTGTCATTTTTCTAATGGTTGAGTAAAAAAATATTTACAACAATTATACTAATAGTCCTTCAAATTTTATGTAAATAAAGTTTTATCAAATGGCATTTAAAACTATAGTTTAAAATAGGAAAATAAAAATTAATTAAATTTAATGGTCGGGATTAATGAACATTAATGCACCAGAATTATTTCCTCCCCAAAAGAATCTCCAAAGTTATTACTGGACTCATTTAATTAATTTCTTCAAAAAAAAAATCTCTCTCCCAATTATGTAAATCAATAGACTACAATTCACAAGAAAAAAACAATCATTCAACATTAATGTTATCTTTAAAATCTTCTCCCAAAAACATGACCATGTATTTTTCACCAATAAAAAAGAAAAAAAGGTACAAAACTTGCCTTCAATTATTACTAAAAGGATGGGATTTAACTATAATTAAATGTTATCTTTTGAATTTCAAACCAATGCATTTATTTGTGTAATATCATATTTACCCAAATAAGTATAATCTTTTCTTAATAATATCTCAAAAGTTGTTATAAACTTTATCTTTTTATCACTGAAATTTTGGATAATCAATTATCATCAATCCCAATTTATCTCTATTTATTTCCACTTTTGGATAGTAAAATTTTGGATAGTAAAATATACTCCAAAACAACTACATTACTGATGGATTATAAATAAAAATAGTAAAATTCATTTTACACTTTTTTTTGTAGATTTTTTATAATGTATATAAATAAATCCCGCGCATCGCGCGGTACAAATCGCCAAATTGTTTAGTGGATACTGATAATGAAGGTTAGAGTTCACTATTTATTTATGCCTTTTTTGGTCCCTAATCTATAGTATCTATAGTATTATACTAAGAGATAAATAAGAGAGAGAAAATAAAAAAGAATTCTAAAGGTACCACATAGGATAAAATCCTATGTGTCATTTTTCTAATGGTTGAGTCAAAAAATATTTACAACAATTATACTAATAGTTCTTCAAATTTTATGTAAATAAAGTTTTATCAAATGGCATTTAAAACTATAGTTTAAAATAGAAAAATAAAAATTAATTAAATTTAATGGACGAGATTAATGAACATTAATGCACCAGAATTATTCCCTCCCCAAAAGAATTCCCATAGTTACTACTGGACTCATTTAATTATTCTCTCTAAAAAATAAATCTCCCTCCCAATCATGTAAATCAATAGAATAAAATTCAAAAAAAAAAAAAAATACCAATCATTCAACATTAATGTTATCTTTAAAATCTTCTCCAAAAAACATGACCCAGTATTTTTCGCCAATAAAAAAGAAAAAAAGGTATAAAACTTGCCTTCAATTATTACTAAAAGGATGGGATTTAACTATAATTAAATGTTATCTTTTGAATTTCAAACTAATGCATTTATTTGTGTAATATCATATCTACCCAAATAAATATAATCTTTCCTTAATAATATCTCAAAAATTGTTATAAACTTTATCTTTATCACTGAAATTTTGGATAATCACTTATCATCAATCCCAATTTATCTCTATTTATACATGCCACACAAATAATGAGTATGTTCCAGTGCTGCAAAAGTTTCCCCCTCCCCAAAACAACCCGAAATCCAAAGATGAAAGGACAAAAACTTTAGCCCTACAGTTGGTTTGTTGTTCTGAAAGTGATGAACTAATAGTGGATGGATCGTGTGGCATGGGAGGTAATGGTTAATTAAGGTTATATATGATTTTTTTTTTCCGTATGTTCTTCTGCAAAATGATGTTTTAGGGTTCTTTTTTAGACGTTACTAAATTTATGTTTTTTTTACCCAAAATTTCATAATTTTATTAATTATTATTTTCTATTGTCATAGCAAAAAGGGATAAAAGGGCAAAAATTTTAACTCTATAGTTGGTTTGTTCCTCTAAAATATTAAATATTGGGCCAAACAGTACCATAAAATCTTTAATTACAACAAAATAACCATAAAAATTTTAAACTTCATACTTCAGTCACACATAATCTACCATCTACTATTGATAATTATTTCATTATGTATTTACGCGTACAATCATTTTATCTTTTCATTCAATATGTAACATTAGTACAATCTTATTTATTTTACTCTACTTATGAGTGTTATTGTCCAGTTCTTCTCCTTCAATAAAAATCAAGTGAACACTTGCATTTCAAATGATATGCATTATTTTATCTTTACAATTACGCCTTTATTTAATTTTAGTTGTGTAATATATTTAATATAGACTCCAAATACATTTTGCACTTTTTATATTTTTTATAATATAAAAAATATATATTTATAGACTCCAAATATATTTTTTTATATTTTTTACACTTTTTATTAATTTTTTATAATGTATATAAATAAACCCCGCGCATTGCGCAGGTTTAACATCTAGTGATAATAAGGAACTGGAAAATTACTCTACAATCGTTGACTTTCAAAAAAAAGTCTTCGTAGTCTTCGCATAACAAACATGTATGTACCTAAGCCTAAGACGATCCAAACACAAAGTCAATTTTTTTTTTTGAAAATTGAATAACTCTATTTTATCAAAAGAAAATGATTTGACATGACCCGATAAAATTATGTACATATTGTAATAATTTACCCAAAAAGATTTATTTTTTTTTGCTGCTTGTGTGTTAGTATCCATGAAAAAAGTACTTCTCCAATTTTTTTTATCTGTCCCTTTAGGATTCACACATATTTAAAGAAAATAATAATGTTTGACATTTTATTTTATTTTATTTTAGCTATAATGCCTTTCTCGCCCTTAATAAAAAGTTGAGACTATACAAAATTCCAAAGTCAATTTTTTTTAAAAAAGCAATTGCTATTAATCTATGTTATTAAACCATGTTTTATAAAACTTAATTGAGGGTCTAAAATATGAAATATGAAGACTGAACCATAAGCACTAAAATAATTAAGTTTGTATTCTTGGATAAAATTCAAAAATTCAACACTAAAGAAATGTATGAAATCTGAAGTCTAAATATCTATAGTATTTAATTAAAGCAGCAAACAAAAAGGACATGTGTCAGCACCATAATAAAAATTTTCCTGCCAAAAGTCATTTTCAGTACAAAATCATTTTTGACACGTGGCACTCTAACTAATCGGAAAAAAAAGATAGAATAGATAAATACATAAATCTCTTAATTATAGCAACATAAAAATATCTTAATTATAGGTATATACTAATCCCTTCAAACAACAATATTTAGTTGATAAAATCAAATGTAAGGAAATCCCTTTCAATCAAGTGAAACACCAGTAATATCTTCCTTATCCCTAATTTCAAAGAATCTCTTCCATTATGCTCCTCTCTCACGCCCGGGCCTTTAAATCAATTACTTAAAAGCTGACATCAATTATCAATCTATCTCTTTCTACAAGAGAGAAAAAATAAGCTGTCATGAAAGAAATTTGATTTTTTAAGGATGATTTTTTTTAATTCTTCTGTTGTAGATATTGGTTTATGATTTATGTAAATTCGGGCATAAGTTAACTGTTATAAATTAAACGTTGTAAATCTGGGCATAGATTTATGTGTAATAACTCACTTTCTGTCCTTTCAATCGATTTTTTATTTTTCTATTTTTTTTATTCTTTTAAGAATGATTCGTATTTTTTATTTAATCGATTTAAAAATACATGCGACACCCCGGTCATTCGCCCGGGGCAAGCATCTAGTTAAAAATGAAACCATTAGGATCTTGACTTATAATTTTGATTAAAAAAAAAAGATCTTTGTGATACCATGATAATAAAAATAACGATATCATTATGAATTTATTTAATAAAATATGCATCTTTGATTATGTAATTGTTTTCAATAATAACTTATATTTATGGTAAATATATAGTCATTACAGACTATATACTAAATAATAAAACACAATTTTATCTTAATTTTCTTATCCTTCACATAATCACCTATCCATGTCATGTAACAAATCATAGAATAAACGTTTATCTTGATCAATTAATCTTAAGAAAGTCCCAGTCATTGATTTTTTTTTTGTTTATAATTTTCTTAATTAATAATTGTTATTCATTTTTGTTGGAAGATATATAACCTCTTACAATTTTTCTTTTTCTGAAACAAGAAAACAAAATCTTTATTCTACTCACGGGAAATCACAATGGAGATAATAGAAAACTACCCCTCAAATGTACTTTAGTGAATAGAAGAAAAATGAAATCATAATTTTGGGATAGCGCACATAATATAACATGGTAATTGTACATGAACAACCACGTAGTATTGTGCAGGCACATGAATAGAGCAAGATTGTTATTTTATTAGGAAAGTTACCTCAAAAGTAAGGGACCATGATATTTTTCAGTATACTGGATGTGTTGCTGCACTAAAAAGGGATTACACTTGATGTATGGAATAATTTTTCCCACATTCCTCCTTCAAATGTTTTAAAAGAAATTATAATCTAACTCCATAGAGACACCAATGAAATTCAGATCATCATGTGCTATAAAAAAATGTTCAAAAACAATAGTAAAGTGTCCATAACATCCTACTATATTAGAAACAAAAACTTCCTTTTCAAACACCTCAATTGATTGCCACGTGGCATGTAGAAAATACTAAATTGCCCTTTTGTATAACCATAACTAAATTACTAAATCTCCCTTTGTACTTTACGTGACACTTTTTTTTTTTAATTTTTTTCTTTATGTTTCATTCAACTAGAGTGCTTTTTTAAATTGAATTGATCAATTAAGTTTTTTGTTACAAAGTGTCAATTTTGTTTTAAGCGTATACCCTTTGGATGAAGCTTATTACAAAGCTATTAAAAATCTTCAAAATTAAGTATTGATTTGGCACGACCAATGGAGAACATCAATAAATCATCTTACTAATATTTAAATTTATTAGGATGCTTTTATATATTATCTAACATTTACTTCAACACATATATTTGATTAAGCTGTTTATATTTAATAAGTAACACTTATAAAACATTTCTAAAACATACATGGCGAAATACAATTTATTTTTTTTTTGCGAAATACAAATATTTCTATGATCACACTTATAAAACATTTCTAAATCCTTCAAACATTTCTAAAATATATCACTCCAAATACAAAATTTTATTTTTTTCAAATATAAACATTTCTAAGATCTACAGATAGACTGGGCCAGGGTCGCGCACATCACTAGTGTTAAGAATAGAAGAATACCAATAGCAATTGTCCAATAATTGCTCCGTGACGAATGAGCCCAAATTTCGGGTGACCAATCCTTGAGGCTAAATTTCGAACTGGTGAAGAAATTATTAGCACTGAAAATCTCGTTCTTTTCATTTTCCATCAACTTGTCAACCAAGTGAGAGAACGTACGAATCCAGCACCTCCAATGACCAAGATTATCATGTTTGGCTGAAAAACTTCGAGAATCTCAACGGGGATAGAGTTGGGGGAGGTTTCTTTGTCAAAATTATTTTGAATATTAACAAACTAAATCAATTTTAGACACAAACACAAAATGTCAAGATTCACAAAGAAACCAAAGCAAATAATGAACTCAAGTCCATCCGATTGAATGCCGATTGTGGATGAAGTATAATTACCTCCCATTCAATTAGACAGCCTCAAGGCATGATATACCGGTATATTTTAAGTTGGATTCCAAAGAGTGAGTTCACTCATGTGTTGATTTTTTAGTCCATCTTTATTGGAGAGAGCTCTTCCACCAAAATAACTTTGATCATCGGGGATATATGTTTTAGGGCTTTCGGTGCATTGATGAGAAGGTTTTGGAATCATAGACTGGATAAAATAGGCATAAATTTTTGAAAGAATTCTATGCAAAGATTTGATTTTAAAGGATATGATTTGCTTTGTAGTTTGGATAGTATCACCGCAACTTATTACTTATCCTTTAAAATCAAATATAGAGTCTGTTTTGATATGTTGGGATCTCATTTAGTTGTGCGTATTAGATTATAGCTTCTATAATGGATAAGACTTAGCTGATTAGTAAAAGTAATTTGGTAATTCATTATTTTGATTTTAAAAATAAAAAATTACTAGAAATTAAAATTGCTACATTGGACTAGATATAGATTGCCGCTGCGTCTCCCAAATTATAAAAAGCCACTATGTACACGTCGAATCCACACACTCTAAACACTAGGAGAATGATCCCCAACGATTTGCTTCATGAAATCCTCAAGAGAGTTCCGCTGAAATCCCTCATGCGATTTCAATGTGTATCTCGAATCTGGCAATCAATAATCAACGATCCTTTGTTCATCAAGGCCTACCCGAGACTTGCTAATCGATTTCTCGTCTCATTGGAGTGCTGCCGGGATCACGTACTTTTCAAGATCTGCAGCCTTGGCGAAGGTGGCGGCCGCCACCGTGCAATCATCTTTTCTCAAACTCTTCCGCATGAGGCCATGGACTGTGATCGGAAACCAAAAGCATACACAAATATCGTCAATGGATTCATATGTTTTTATCGGGACGAAAAATCGTGGTTGTATGACATTATTAGCCAAGATCTGGTCAAACTTCCCGACTTTGGGTCAACCATATTTACCGATGATACTCATTTTGGGTTTGATCGGGTGAACAAAAGGTACAAGTTACTCAAGATACTTGATTCTTATCAAGTGGCGATTTTCACCGTCGGCGTCGATTCGTCTTGGAGGATCCGTGATTTTGCGTCACTGCCATCTTTAGAGATTTTAGCATATCGACCTTCGTGCTTTGGCGGAATCCTTCGCTGGATAAATCATAGACCACGGAATGAAGACCGAAGTTTGGATCGTCTAGAATATCAATGTCGAGTTGTGGCTTTTGATCTTGATAAAGAGAAGTTTATTCACAAAAAGTGTTTAGATTTTGGAAACTATGAAGGCAAATCATACACGAAGATGATGAATTTCGGGCCTTGTAAAGTTGTAACGAGATTTGATCTGACCGAATTAGATCTGGCTGGCCGTCGGAATCCACCACGAATCTCTCGTCGATTCCGCACTGGTATGGATGAGTCGTATGATTCACCTCGGGTTCGAGTTCTCTTGTACAATGTTAAAGAAAGGTCTTTTCACGAAATTCACTTGTTTGATCCTTCCAAGAGGGAGTGGGAAAGGATTATGATGGATTCATCATTTACCCTTGACAGCACTTCCTACTTCGAGAAAAATCTCGTGTCATTTGGGTGCCATAACTTAACGCCCAAACTTAACTTGCTGTCAGATGATTATTTTAATTGAGGTTTCTGTTTTTTCCTTTCTCTTTGTTAAATTTTACATGTTACTCAATGTGTTAGCATACCCTCATGATGTGTTAAGTTGATTTAGACTTTGTGCCTCTTTCTTTGTAATAGTAAAAAAAACAAATAGTACACCCCTATAAAGTTTTGAGGTTGCGGTTTCTTGTTTATTGGAATTTTTTTTTTGTTATTATAAGTTTACTAGATGTAAAATTTAAGTAGAAAATTTGAAATAGAGAAAATGAAATGTTATATTATTTTACTTTATAAATTTTGTGTTAAGAAAACCTAGGTACAAATATGCTAATATTTCTTTTAGTCACCAAAACCGAACATAGAGAACCAAATGTTAATAAATTATCAAGAATATTTTATTTAACCATCAAATAGAAATTAGAGGAAAAACAGAAGACTTTTAAATCTTTAAAAAAATGGTATACCCAACTCATCATTTTTAAATGCCCTGTTCATTTAATTTAGATTGTTAGCATTTTCAATTAAATGATTAATTTTGCCTCAAAATTTACCTTTTAGAAAAAAAAATATTTGAAATGCTATGGCGGGATTATCTATTTTTCTCATAAAATATCATGCGACTTAATTTTTTGCATTTAAATGGCAATTGATAAATACATAGCTATTTTGTTATATAAAGAGCAAATTCTTTCAAAATACCAATAATACCCTCATATAAAATTTTATCACATCTACTATAATTAATTTCTTTCATTTTCTCCATTCTTTTATGGTTTGACTGGATTCTATTGTTGTCTTCTTCAAGCCAGGGGACGAGGGATACAACGTTGTGCTTCTCGCCACTTTTGCAACATGATCAATCCATTGAAGCCTTAATTTACTTTTTATTTTCAATTTTGAAATTCTATTTTTTATAAAAAAATATTAGAGTTCCAATGTTATTTACCGTAATCTCTTTAAGTTCCCAAATATCATGTTATAGTAGTTTTTTCATTCGGTGTCGGAAGGTTTAGTTCAAGGTCACAGGAAATGAGAAGAAAAATAACTTAAGCTTTAAAAAAAAATTAGAGAAGGAAAAAAAAATTACGCAAGTTTTTTTTATTTGGAGGAGAAGAAGAATTTACACAAGTTTTATTTTTTTAATTTGGAATAAGAGATTGGATTTTACCTTATCCATAAAAGAATGAAGAAAATAAAAGATGTGTTAAAATTTTTATAAGGGTATTATTGGTAATTAAAAAGATTTTGCTCTTTATATAACAAAATAGCTCTTTATTTATCAATTGCCCATTTAAATTGTCTGAAATCTTTTTAAGTGATTTTCAATTTTTTTAATAACATTTTTGGTCTTAACTTATTATCATTTAGTTTTCTACCCATTTATTTATTTATTTAAGTCATTCCATTCCCAATTTAATCATTGATTTTGGTTTAATTCTTAAATTTTTAAATATCTTTAAATTAAAATGTAACAATGAGAATATATATTTTTCTCCTCAAGAATACTATTGGAATTGTTTTCTCTATTCAATACATTTTACGTGATATTCAAAGATTCTTCATTTGAAACAGATTTTTAAAACAAAATTTGAAAGGGAAAAAAAATTTAGGCTGCAACTCCAACACTTTTCAAGAATTTTCAACTTAAACTGTAATGGTGGGATAATTGTTTTTCCCCCTTAATGGTACTGTTCACCTTTTCTTTCATTTACTTTGTATTAAATTATTTTTTGTGGTTCTCAATTTGTTTATAAAATTTGCATTTTTGCCTATTATAGTGTAATTAATTGTTCACTTATTTATTGCCTTATTTAGAAATTTTGGGATACTCCGTTTAATTTTATATTTTGCCTAAACTATAGAGTTTAATTTAAACTTTAAAGGTGGGAGAATCTTTTTTCATCTTGTCAATTCTATAAATTATTTTGCCAACATTTAATCTCGTTTATGTAATTTTTAATCCATTTAATCTCTCATTAAACAAAAGAGTCACAGAACAACCAACAATTGGATGCCAGCAAACAGAAGGTGGTGCAACCAAATCATGAGGTTAATCAATTGAAGGAAAAAGCTAAAGAGGTTCAGAAAGAGGCTGCAACAGCTAGTGTTTCTTCAAAAGCAAGGAAGCAAACTGTTGGTAAACTGCAGACAGAAATGGTCAGTTCAAATGAGAAGGGAGTCCAAATTTTGAACAATAAAGGAATCAGAATAGATGAAGGAAGAATAGTTGACAGAGTGAAATCTGTGAATGAGATATGTTATAATGATACTAGTCACCCTTTTAAAGGGCCTAGGAATCATGAATAGCATCATCTCATGGAATATAAGGGGACTTAACAGTCCCCCGAAACATAGAGAAATTACTAATTTTCTCTATGTTAATAATGTAGGAGTTGTTGGTGACGATGCTTGGTTTCGCGCCGCCGGTCTAACAGTGAAACTCCGGCTAGGGTTTCTTGCAAAACAAGGCCTCGGGGTCTCCAGAGGGTAGACGCTCCGATGCTTAAATCAATAAAGGGTTACTGGAAGATTTAGGTATGTAGTATGTTAAGCTATAGATTGCGTACCTGTATTGTGGCATGAGCAACCCTATTCATAGGTATGAGAATACCTGGAAAATCCCTGAGTCCTATTAGGTTTTGGGAACCTAAACCGCCTCAAGAGTCCCGGTTGGACTCTCCTTTTGGTTGATGGGCCGGTCCAGTCTCGATGATGGATATGGACTCGTCAAGTGCTCCTGTCAAGTGTTAGTTATATAAGATAAACAACGCTTGGCACAAAGTTACCTGGACAAACCCGAGAGTGGATAGGCTACTCTCGTTCAGCTAGTTGTCGAGCAATGCGTCAAGTAGCCTCGACACAAACACACAACTCTCGGTCTTGGAAGCCCGAGGGTAGCTAGCGGGTTAGATCCTGACCCGGGAAGGTGACCCGTTTTCTTGTCCCGCCCAAAATTTCAATCATGCACTATTAGTGGGCATGTTCCCCAACTGGTGGCTACTCCTTTGAAATTCGCATTAACTGCCATATCGTGGGCTGTAATTAGGGAGACATGGGAGAACAATTTTTGTTTTTAAGGAGAAGGCTCTATCATTCCCCTTTCACTTATGACTTTTCCTTCTTGGCAAAAACTCAAACTCTCCTCTCCGTCAGAGTGTTTCAACCCCCTTCGCCGGAATATTCAAGCCTCCACCTACATACTGCCCCAGTGACGTTATTTCCAGGGGATTTGCCATCAGGATTCAGGAAGAACGCTGGGAAGCTACAACTCGAAAGGTGAGTGGTCACATCCTCCTCTAACAGTAAGTTTTCAGATCTGACTACCCCCGGTTTCATTCTAAGTTTTTGTCTTTTCCAACTGTAGCCAGATTGGATTTGTACCGGAATCATGGTTAGGGATTCGGAAGGGAAAACTGTTGATGACTTCGCATCCACCATAGATTCTGTTGAGAAGGTAGAAAACCTTAGATCAAAATATGACCTTCCTTCAGATCTAGAGGCGAGAGCCCCGTTAGGAAACGAGAGGGCCAACTCTCCTCCTGAGGGAAGAATTACCGTGTACGACTGGTTTATGCATCTAGGGCTTAGATTTCCCCTCTTCCCTCTGTTCGAGGAGATTGTGCAACACTATAGGACGCCCCTTGCTCGTTTCACCCTAAACTTAATAACTTTTGTGCTGGGATTCGCAAGAGTATGCCAACATGTAAAAGTAAAACCCCGGTTGATACTGTGGAGGTATTTCTTCCAAGTAGTTGTGGCCTCGACCTCTTTCCAAGACTGGTATATTGTGAAGAGGCACCTCAGATCCGGTGTTAGAAGGATGGTCGAGGCGTATGGCGGCTCTCCTAAATAGAAGCCGGATTTCTTGTTTGTAAGGGCATCCGAGAGCTATTGTCTATCGTAGAATTATCGAGAAATGGAGGGTCTTGGAGCCATAAAGGATAAGTGGACCCAGGAAGATGAAAAGTGCATCGAGGAGCTTAATGCAGATGTGGAGAAAATTTTGAAATATTCTAAGGTCGTTAAATGGAACAACGTACAATATTATGTGCCTTCTATGTACGCCGAGGAGGATGATGATGCTAATGTCGAGACCTCAACCAGAATCCTTCTCGAAACCTCTGTTGGAGACAACCAAGGTACTAACCATTTGCTTTTTCCTTGTCTGTTCTTAGGTCATGTCGTCAAGCAACGCTGGTTCTCGATTGTTTGGTGATGAAGATCCTTTTACTATTGTGAATTCAGATGAGGACGTTACCATCACTGCAGCACCTCAAAAGAAGAAGAAGAAGAGGATCGTGAAGGTCGGTGATAGGGCGAAATCTAAGAAGGCCAGAACGGATGCACCCTCGAAAGAAGCCACAACACCGGGTAACGAGACGGTACCCCCTGCTACTGACACTGTTCAAAATCCTCCGCCAAAAACAGAGCCAAGTGTTGTTCCCCCTACACCAGAAAAAGGCAAAACCCCCTCGAAGGAGAGGTAATAACCTTGCCCCCTCAACTGTTCGAGGGAGGTCCGTCCGTGGCTGTGCACACTTTCAGCAACCCACCGACGATCGAGTGTCCCGTCCTCGAAGAATTTGCTGCTCAGCTGAACGAGGCTGACAGTCTAAGACTGGTAAGGGAATTTTATCTGTTATGAGTGTTTACCACAAACCGGTACCCCCTTAGTGTATTTCTAATGTGTTTTGTTGGTGTAGATAAGCGCGGCTTCGATGGCCTACTTGGTGCAGCTGAGGAAACTGCGAGAAAACCTGGTCGCAGCCCGATCTGAAATGGATGAAACTCTATTTGTGGTGGTGACCCTCGAGGAAAAAGCCCGTCAAGTCCAAGGGAAGGAAGCTGAGATCGCCTTGGTACAAGCCAAGTATGACGAGCTGGACGAGAAGATGAAGTCTTTCGCCAGTTTGCACATCTCGAAGGAGGAACTACAGTTGTGGTGTGCTGCGTTCATGTACAAGATGTTGTCTACAGGGGGGATGGCCGCAACCCTCGAGGAGATGAACTTGGTTGCCACCAAGT